ATTTAGTTTAGTTAAAAATCTCTTTAAATCGAAACCATCTTGCTATGGTTTTACCGGCTAGCTTGGTGCAGCCCTCCAGTATAGGCAATAGCCTTAACCAGTGAGGCAGACCGCACTTGGGCACCCATAAAGGAAGCCAAGTGATGTCGGATCTATAACTTAGATAGTTTATAATGTAACTTTATATTAGCTTTGATCTAATAAAGATACTGGCGAGACTGCCAATAGTAAAAAAAAAAAAAAAAAAATTACAATAAATACAAATTAAAATTTCTAAATATTAATTATCTAAACCTTATGTGGTAAGGAATTATTCTTAATAAAGTATCCTTTCTTAAAAACCCACGAATAAAGGTTCCCAACTTTACGTTTTTTATTAGCAAAAGTTGCTTTAGCACTTTTAGTAGTAGTGACTTCGGTACTTCCAGTAGTAGTAACTTCAGTACTTCCAGTAGTAGTAACTTTGGTACTTCCAGTAGTAGTGACTTCAGTACTTCTAGTAATAGTGACTTCGGTACTTCCAGTAGTAGTAACTTCAGTACTTTTATCTTCAGCAGAAATTATTTCAGTATCTTCGCTTTCACTAACAACTGAAGCCATATTTACTTATAAGCGATATATAAATTGTTTTAATAGAATAGTCTAGTAAGATTAAAAGTTTATTTAATATAATTGTGTTTTTTTTTTTTTTTTAAAAAAAAAATAAAAAAAATAAAACGTATAAAATATTACTTTTCACATGCTTTTTTCCGTTTCTGCATAAAGAAAAATTATTATTTGACTGATAAAAAAGTATTTTCAAGTACTAAAAAAATATTCGAAGTTAAAATTTTGAAACCTAATACTAAATTTCTATATAATAAATACGTATTGATATATTAAAAAATAAGCTTAACTATAGATGCAGACCAAAACTTAATTTAGACACTTATTATTTATATTAGGTGCAAGAATTTAAATAAACTACAAACTAAAGTTTTTGCTAATACTAGCTTTAAACTAGTTTTTTTATTTATTTCTATGCAACTATAACAGGCCCTGCAGGCTCCCGCGGACCTGTTTATATAACTTGGCCCAAACCCGTATTTAATAAACCTGGTATAAACCTGGCCTACTTTATAAATAGATCAAAATATTAAACCTAATATTGACCCAAACCCTGCCTAACCTACAAACCCACGGGTTTAGTCTGGCCTATTCTAAACCCTAGTCAACATAACTATGATCTTGTTGAGAACATTAACATGGTTGCCTCTTGATACCATAACTTTCTCTGGAAATTCGTGATGAAGTAAGAATTCTTGTGACTTCTGGAATACATGCTGAAGCTATTATTGAAGTCCTACAGTATAATAACCCAACAAAGTATATTCATGCTCGTAATGTTTACAATTTGGTTCAGACAATTAGATGTGAAAAAAGAGTTATTAGTGATGCTGGTTTTATGTATATTGAGCTTATAAAGCAAAAGTAGGATAATCCAATACTCTATGTAGATGCATGCTTTAAAGACAAAGACAACCACCTCATAAGCCTCTGCTGGATAAGGCCAAGCTAATAACAATTATGGGTTCATTTTTCTGATGTAATATTACTTGATACAATAGCTAAAACAAACAGATATTTAATAATTTTGTGTATTGTTATTTTGATTGACAACCATAATCAATTACGACTAGAAGCTACTATACTATTGTCTGATGAAACTAAAGATATATTTTCTTGGCTTTTTGAAAGCTTTAAAAAAGCAACAAGTGAATTAATGCTATCTCTACTTCATATAGACACTAATCCTGCGATAATAGCAGTGGCAAAAAGCACCTGGCCATTAACAAAACACCATTTCTGTCTTTTTCACATTCGTAAAAACCTAGAAAACCATTTTTTTAGTAAGTTTCATGGTGAAAAATGGTGAAAATTTTTGCAGCTTTTTGTTCCACGCATAATAGCCATATTGAGAGAATTTTTAATGAAAGGTAGACCACATTAGTGCAGGAATATACTGAAGCAGCTGATTACTTGCAGCATCAGCTATATTCATATAGGGAAGCATGAGCTTTATGCTTCACACATCATGCTTTTAACGAAGGAGTTTAAAGCATGCAACGTGTTGAAGCCTACAATAGTATAATTAAAAGTAATGTAAATAGAACTTCATCTCTTCTAGAACTTGATTATACTATTGAAAGGTTGTTAGCAAAGGAAAGTCAGTTCATAAATTTAAATGATGCTATTAACAAGTTTCCAATGAGCTAAGAAGAAGGATATCATGATAGATATTTTAAAAAAATTGATGGAATGTGTTAACGTTTTTTAACACCAGTAATCATAAAACTTCAACAAAATGAGATGAACCGCAGTATACATTACTAGTGCAATATGATTAGTTTAAATGAAGAAGCTATACAGCAGGTTATTAATACTGAATCATCTGATAATATGTTTTCTGAAAACCTTTTT